AAAGTAATGGACAAGCAGAAGCATCTAACAAAGTTATCCTGGATGGGATAAAGAAGAGGCTGCAGGCAGCAAAAGAAAAGTGGGTGGATGAGTTGCCTAGTGTACTCTGGACATATCGGACTGCGCCGAGAAAATCAACCGGGGAATCCCCCTTTACTATGACTTATGGCACAGAAGCTGTCATTCCGTTGGAGGTCGGCATCCCAGGGATCAGAACCCAGGGAGTAGAGAACGAGACCAATGATGTACTCTTAGCCCAAGATCTAGATCTTATAGAAGAAAGAAGGGAGAAAGCTATAATTCAGCTCGTAGCATACTAGCAGCAGCTTGCCAGAGCTTATAATAAAAAGGTCAACCCAAGGGAGTTTCAAATCGGTGACCTTGTCTTGAGAAAAGTCGTCGGCAACAAGAAGGATCCCAGAGAGGGCAAGCTTGGCCCAAACTGGGAAGGACCCTACAGAATCATCTCGGTACTGGGAAATGAGGCATATCGACTTGAAGATAATGAGGGCAAAGAGTTGCAAAGGCCCTAGAATACTTGCAATCTTAAGTTTTTTTATCATTAAATTTTCTTGTTCTTTGTTATCAGCCGAAGTAATAAATAAAGCTTGATTTTATTTTTATTTTTTTCAGAATACATGTATAATGAGAACCCAAGTGGAACTTAAGTTCACATTAGGGGGCAGAGAGTTGGAAAATGGTTTTAACACTTGTTGAAATTTGAGAAAAATTTACAAGTTGAAGTTAAACCGAGATCATGTTTAACACTTGTTGAAATTTGAGAAAAATTTACAAGTTGAAGTTAAACCGAAATCATGTTTAACGCTTGTTGAAATTTGTGAAAAATTTACAAAGTTAAAGTTAAACCGAGATTATGTTTAACACTTGTTAAACTAAGCTTATATTGAACAATTGTTGAAAATTTGTGAAAAATTTACGAGTTAAGACCAAGACTGTACCAAGAAAGGTACTTATGTAGTTGCCGAGGTACACCATTGGCTTGTATAACCGAGGTATGTCACCCCGAGAAGGTGGCATAAGACTAAGGTGTATATTGAAGACACAAAATTATTCTAAGTATGAAAGTCATACAAAAGCAGTAAAGGGATGATAAAGATACAAGCATTCAGGAAAAAAAGTTGCATTTATGTACAAAAAAACGCACTTCGGCCTACCAAAAGAATAATTGTTCAGAGATTACAAAAGAAGACACATCGGCCACATAAAGAGCTTACTTTGTTTCAAAGAAAAATAAAGAAGCACAGAAAAAAGAAGGAGAAGATCAAATTAAGACTCTTCGGCAACACCAGATGGTTGGGTTTGAAGTTCAGAAGACTGCTGGGAGGACATCTCGGTAGCCTTCTCAGCCGCAAGCTCAGCATCTATCTCTTGAACGGTTTGATCGAGGCCCTTATCGGCGAGAGACACGTCCGATGATGCCTTCTCCGGAGTAGCATCCTTGGGAACCTCCTCACCCTTCTCATCTTGAGTCAAGTCCAGGACTTGCTCATTTTGAGTAGGGGACTTGGCCCCAGCAACTTCCTAGGACTTCCTCACCAAAGCCTCCTCCTCAGACTCAGAATCGTCGTCGGATTGGCTTGGAGTTGGGGGGAATGAAAGGGGAAGGACGTCGGTGTTCCTAAGGGGGGAGTCCTCGGGGAGTTCAAGTTTTTTTAGAAGAGACATCCAACCAAGGGTGAAACCCTTGTTGCATGCCTGCTTCACCTTTTTCTTATAGTCCGCCGTAACATCGGCCCCCCTCAGCATATGCCTTTTCATCAGCGACCTTGACCTCGGCAGCTTTGGTGGCCAAGGCATCTTGAAGTTCTTTTTGGGCCTAGGTCATCTTTTCTTCGGCCTCTTTCTTTTCGGCCTCAAAAACCTTCTTGATGGCCTCAACGGCCTCCGCCTTTTCCACGGCCTCATCTTTGGCTTTAATGGCCGACGCAGCCTGGTCAGATAAAGTTTTCATCTTGGTTTCAGTCTTTTTAAGGGTCCTCTGCAGACCAGAGGCCTCCCTCGCCTTGTCGGCAAATGCATTCCTTATCTCAAAAGATTGCATTTAGAAGGAATGGGCGTGCTGGATTGCTTGAAAAAAAATGAACAGAGCAGAAGTTATTAGAAAAATTTCTAAGTATGGGAAAAAGAAAGAAAGAAAAATTACCAAATAAGAAGGCTTATTTTAGCAGAGTGCTGCAGCATCAAGGCGAAATTCTCATGCTCAGTCATCTGGGCATTGCGGTCAAGATCCCGAAGTAGGAGCAAGGCTGTAGTAAGGGCAACACCGACGTTGATATCGTCAGCACTATCCTCAACAAAGACTGGCCTATTCTCCAAAGTAATAGGTGCAGCCCAGGGGGCACCAGCCTTCATGGAGCTCGACGCTGTGGCAGACTCTGACCTCGGCCTCTTTGACCGAGTTGATTGGGAGGGTTCAACCTCGATGGGCCTCTTCTCGAGGGCGGAGGTAGTCTTCTCGCTTGAAGCCAATTTTGAAATTGGCAAGGTGTCCTCAGTATCAATCTGAGTCACTGTTGCCTTTGGCTAAGCCTGCTTTATCCTTTTTTGTTTTGGCTTTGGCTGAGACGGTACTGGTTCAGCGTCAATAGTGGCCGGGATGTTGGCCAAGAGGTCCTTAGCAACTGCTTTCTGGCGACTCATCTCAGCGACAAAAACTGTTTGGCATCGTCGACGGCTTTGAGATGGCGGAATCAGCTGTGGAGCCGAGGTAGATGGTTGTTCAGCCGGATCTGAGGTTGACCCTTGATCTGGCCGAGATGAGGACGCTGTCGAAGGAGTAATAGCGGAAGGAGGAGACTGACTCTTCTTCTTCTTCTTTGGGATGTCGGGGAGCACCGATTTGTAGGTGGGAATGAAATTGAGTACCAAAGGGGCTCTCCACTTATGGATTGGCAGATCTAATAGTTTCTTCAAGTCTTTGCTGGGAAAGAAAGGCTGGCGGAAGCCCTTTGGTGGTTGAGGAAGAGCTGCAAGAAAAACAGACATTAGAAACAAACAAAGTATTGAAGACTTTAAAAAACGAGCAAGTGCAAAAACTGGGCTCATACCATTACCCTCTACAAAGACTGTACGAGGAAGAGGGTAGAGGTGGAGGTCCTCATCTGGAGCGAACTCCCAGTTCCCCTAGGTAATGAAGTAATCATCCCCAGCTCCCTTGTTGGAGTCTGGGAGGTCAGCAACGATTTTGTACTCTGTGGACCTCGGTTTAAGGTAGTAAACATAGCCTGTGTCCTTTTTAAGGCCACACATGGTGTAGCAGTATTGGATGTCGGCTAAGGTAACCTAGCGTTCTCTTGTTTTTCTAAGGCTATTATATCATTTATGACTCGGTAGGAATTGATGGCGAGTTGTATTGGGTTCAATTTGTAATAATGGATTATTTCACGGAAGAGGATGTCGAGTGGGAGCCTAAGACCACACTCAATAAAGGCTACAACAGGGAAAGGCATAGAATCAGTTGTAGGCATGATGGAGTCATCCTCCTCAGCCAACCTCAGATGGACGTCGGCAGGGATGGAAAATTCTCGCCTAAAGTACTCTAATTTTGTCAAGGTGTCTACCCTATGCCTCCACATACCCATGATATCGGCTTAAGAGGAAGGTGTGAGACTTCGGAAAGGACCTCGGCTAAAACCTAAGGGAAATTCGTTTCAATTTTTCCTACAAATTTGTGGATTCTATAAGCAAATCCCAAACCTAGATCTATGGAAACAAAGATTGAAGACGAATCTAGAAAAGACACAGAAAATAGAAAACAAGAATGTGTTTCAGAATCAAGAACAGTGAAGAACTATCAAGAACACTGTGACAGAGTGTGTGCAAGGGTACAAGGCCAAGAACAATGGCAAAAGTGAACAAATGCGTGAGCAATGTATGAATATTCAAGAGAGGATTGGGCGAAAATAGAACCGCGAAGCAACCATACTCAAATACATGAACAGATTAAATTAATCGATGACATGAGAGAGTTCGAGGAAAAATCAAAGAATTGAAACCAGGAGGAACAGTGACTTACCAGAGAAGTGAGGCCGGTGAAAAGGATCGCCGAAGTCAGACGATGGTTATAAAAGCAACAGAGCGGTGAAAGTCTCGCCGGAGGAGGTGAACGGAGCAAGTTGCAGAACTAAAAGGGCTTGAACAATGGCAGATCTTGAGAAGAGGTTAGAAAGAGCTTCAGAGACAAAGGTGTAAAGTGAAAAGACAAAGAGAGGGAGAAAAGTTTCGTTAAAACCCGAAACGACGGCAAAAAGGCAATTAATGTGCCTAAAACAACGTATGCGTTAGACGGCGCTCGCAAGAAAAATTCGACTTATAGGCGCGTGCCAAGTACGATCCAGTAAGGGGAAAACGTGTAGCTAAAACGGTTAAGTAATTATGCATGACAGCTCATACCCGTGAAAAGAGCTCTTGGAATTCTTGTTCTTTAAAAAGACATGTCGGCCTGTATGATGATCTCAGCTGAGAAATTTTAAGCCGACGTATTGGAAGGAATCACCAATATAGGTTCCATCATCTCAGAATGCCGTGGTAATAGAACCTAGGGGGTAGTTGTGAGGATATATTTTCTGAGTACCGACACGTGGTTAAGGTGACGCCGATGTGTCAGCTGAGGTGCCATGTATCCTGGTTATGATGCCGAGATGATCTCGGCTAGGCCGAGGTTATCTGTGAAGATACCGGAATCCGGGACAAGCGGATAAGGGACAAGAGTCCTAGAATGAAGAAGGATCACATCTTAAATAAGGATAAAGCCCTTAAGGGAGTTTATCTTTATCCATTGGAGAGTCCGGGATAAGCATTGAACTAAAGTCCATTGAAGCTAGGCTTCTATTGGGACTTAGTTTGTGTTGGCTATAAAAAAGAGGCACCCCCATGGGTCTAAGGTCGTTCAGGCAACATCTATTCCACCAGTGCTCTCCGGTTGAATACTGAGTTGGCAGTGTGGTCAGAAAATCACTCACACACAAACCAAATATAATCCAACCCAAAATAATAATTCCATACAAACAGATAATCATACAAAAAATGATGTCCTCCGTATACAAAAAAGAAATATCCACTAGTAATCTATACCACCAGAAAATAACTTCATCTCTGTTGGATCAACAACTATTGCAGTAATTGGTAGTGGACAACCTCGAGTTTGTAAAAGTCTTCCAGTAACAAGGTCCCATACCTACAATACGAAAATAAGTCATTTCGAGAAACAAAAACACTCATGCTAGGAAGATATTACTATGAAACATTTAACATAATTAAGTAACCTTGCATGTGCTATCGAGGGAGCTTGATAAAAAAATTGAACTTGAGCCAGTTGATGCAGTTAATATGCCCGTTATGGTTTGTCCAAAGGGTCATGAGTTTAAACTTGCACTTGATAAAATTGCACAATGTAATAATAGCCTTGATATGCATGGTGGAGGGTTTTGTGAGTTAATAAGGTAAAGAGAGCAGATTGTGAAATTTTTTCTGATAAATTTGTTGACCATGTTCAATTGTGAAAGTAGATTCAAACATATTCAAACACTTGGTGACCATGTTCAATTGTGACCACAATGTAATAATAGCCCTTATATCTTTTCCTTCCCTCTATGATAACTTGGGCATATAACCTAGCATATTAAAGCTTTGAAGTCTGATGCATCTGTTCTAAGTAAAACAAATATAACTGATGTTACTACTAATCAACAAATCTGTCCAAAACTCTTAACTCTTGCAACCTCCACCTATGAAGATTTTTTTGGCTAAGAACATGGACATGAAGATTTTTTTTTTTTTTCTGTTGATAAATCACATGTACATCAAGATATTAAAAAAATAGGAAAACTATTAATCCAATTTGGGCTGTTTGTTATGTTTTTCTATTGATAGTGGTATGCTCTGTTTCTGCTCTATCTAAGAGATGGTAGTTTGTTTGTGTTGGCTGGCTTGGTGTAGAGGTTCTCCTCCATTGATTTCTGTTCTATACTCTGTTTGATTCTTTTCATCTTTTTCAATAGCGCGACCTTTGGTTCTGATTCTTTTTGAATTTTGTGTTTTAAATGTCTAAATAGGGTGAGGAAGATGTACCTTTTGGGATCTCCGTTGAGCCTTCTACAACCCCTTTCTCTAATCTCCATAGAAGATAATTTTTTTCATCAGTTTCCTTGTCAGCCTCAACCAAAGGTGCTGCAACAGACAAAAAAACTTTCTTATGCTTCATGAACTATAGGTTTCTTAAGAAGATCCACAATGTGCTTGTAACTACTTATGCAATGTGCTAATTTAAACACACTCAGATCACAAAATCAACCTATGCTAATAAATCTCACGTATTGTATTGGATAGAAAAACCCCTCGGAATCCAAGACAATCCAATCTTGGATCCTTATGCCATTGCCATCGAAAACTATTTCCTTGTGAAGCTGACATGCCAGACTGATCAACAGCACCTCCCCAGCCAACAGAAGCAGCCTCTGGTTCTTTTGCTGATGAGGACTTCTTGGTTAGGTTTGTGCCATACCGTTGCCAACAAGAGAAAGCCTCTGCCATATTCTCAATATCAACCTTGGACCTCAACCTGTATCTGTAGCTCCAAAATAAACAAAAGTTGAATGAAAGATTTATCAACCATTTTGATCATTGAAAAAGCAAATAATCCTGATTCCTAAAGGTTTGGCCATTCATAAGGTAAAAAAGGTAAAAAAAGTTATAAGGTAAAAAAGTTACAATAAAAATTCTCAAAAGTAATATGACAATATCTCCTACTAATGTGTTTTTCTAACAGGACGCACATGATCATAGTAATAGTCACTAAAAAAATGTCAAGAAAAGACAGAATAGTATTGCAATTCATAAGCCCCACACAAAAAGGAAAAAGAAAAAGAAAAAAAGAAGAGGATAACAATACATGCTTATAGACAGTCAATAAATAAACAAAATTATATACATCTATATTGAATGAAAGATTTATTTTTCATTCGGCGACTAAAAGATTTTAGTAGCCAAAACTATCTATCGCTAATTGTGGCCTTTTTAGCGACTAAATTTTTTTTTAGTCACCAATAATCAATATTTCCCGACTAAAAAAAAATTAATAGCTAAATATTGTATATTTGCCAACTAAAAAAAAAATTTAGTCGCCAATGCGACATGTTTTGGCAACTAAATTTTTTTTAGTCGCCAAATTTGGTCGTCAAAAGTGTATTTTGTTGTAGTGTTTGAGGTTGCAGTTCAATTTTTATGGAACGAAATTTGATTTTATTTTTACTATTTTTTGGGATACATTAGAGGAAGTAATCTGGGAAAGATTTTTACTTTTTTCCGTTCCTTTGATTTACCTATTTTTTGGACACATTGGAGGATGCTGCCTCGAGAGAGAAATTGAGGAGTGAGATCTTTTATACCACTTTAGAATGAGTTAGATGATCTGTACTCGAAATATAAACTATTTACCTCCAATTGAGGTGCAAGGATTTTGGCCTATTGAGTTTGTCCTAATTGATTATGAAAAGAATGGCTTGAGAAAATATTACGAACTTTGAAATTTCAAATTGTTACAAATTTTTGACATGTAGGGACTTGTATGTATTTATTAAAATGATATTCCATGAATATGACAATCTTATGACCCACACATAGAGCATGATTTTGCTTTAGTAATGTATTGCATGAATTTTCATAATCTCATATTTTGCATGAGTTGTGGTTACAAGAGGAAATGTGGTTAAGATTTCATGGGTTAATGTATTATGATATAGTTCAAAATACTAAAGTGAATGAATCAAATTGTGAATTAAATTGATTGTGGGTTATGATAATTTTATAATATACTTTGACATGTTGGAGTGAACTAATGAAATTATGAATTAGATTGATTTGTCAAATTGTATTTTCCCCTATAAATAGAAGGTGTCTTTATTAATGATGAACTCTTCTTTTTGTTAAACACCGAAGATTATCTTTCATTATACACAAATGCATTTAAAATTATAAGAGATAAGTTACAAAAAAATTGATCATAATCCGTCTATACTAATAACAATGTGGTTATAAGGTTGTCATTGAGTTTTTTTAAACCATAACAAGTTCTATGTCAAATTAAGAGAAGTTTTTTCCAAGTAATTTTGACTTCCACACATGATGGCAGTGACATGTTAATATCGCAAATTAATTTGTACAGTCTATTTATAAACCTCACCTAAATAGATGGGGCATGAATAATTTTTTATTGTAAGTGTGTTAAATATTTTCCATAATTAATCACGTAACTTGAAGAATAACTATGTTTGATGGTGAAAATGCTGCTAAGCTTAATTTTAAGAAAGTTTGTAAATTTCGTTTTACAAATGATCTAGTAACTAACTTTACATATATATATATATATATATTGATTTGAAAACAATATATTTCTCAATTCAATATATTCAATTAACCTATAATTTATTCATTCATCAACCACTCAGTTAATAAGAAATGAGTAATTTGATAAATTGACATCTAATTTTAAGTGGCTTAATTCCTATGTGAATAGATCAATTTACTTTCAATTTTTATATAATTTCTTAACGAATATAAATAATTAGACTAAATTGACATAACATCACAAGTTAAATGATGAAAATTGATACAATAGAAACTACAAGAACTAAATTGATATAACACATATGACAAATTAAAGACAAAATTGATACAATATGAAAAGGGAAATTTTATTTTCAGCTCACTCATCATAAATTTTTAGTAGTTTAAGAATATAAGAAAAACATTTTTTTAGTTCAAGTCGTCTAAAACTTCCAACATCATTTTCAAACCAAAGTATCCTAGAACTAATAGTTTGTTATGATATTTTGGAATGATTTAAAAACTTTAAAATTCAATAATTTTTTATTTACATATCCGTTTTTCATAAAATTTATATTTTAAAATTCTTTCATCAAGATCTATCAAACAAGATCCATAGTGAATATAAAATTCAAAATAAAATAAAATAAATTTTCACTGACCCAAGTTAGAGAAATTTCATTAAAATCAATTAAATGTCACTGTGATTAACTTTAAGTTTCAATGACAAAATTACTCAGAAAAATTTCAGAATTGTTCAGAGAAATTTAAAAATTGCTTACTTTCTCTCCAAAAAAAATTAGAATTGCACAGAAAAATTTCAGAATTGTTCAGAGAAATTTAAAAATTGCTTATTTTCCCTCCAAAAAAAATTAGAATTGCACAGAAAAATTTCAGAATTGCTTATTTTCTCTCAAATAAATTTTAAAAATTGAACAATTGAGAAATTAGTGAAATTTCTTTTACTTTTAGATAGAAAACTTAGAGAAAATTTATTTATTTTTTCTTTTCAAAATTTCATATTCATCATGATCTTATTTGATAAATCTTGATGAGCCGATTCCAAAAATATAAATTTTAAAAAATATGGAGTTTCAAATCAAAAGTTATTAAATTTTAAAGTTTTGAAACACATTCTAAAGTACAACTTGTTTGCCTACAATGAAGAGAAAATATGTTCAAATTTCATGGTACCAATTGTTAAAAGGGCATTCTTGACGTTTATGTTGAAATTTGTCCTTATCTTCATGGAATTTCAAATTTTAGGAACTTGAACTATCAAACAAATTGTGATTGTCCTTAAACTCTTATACAAATATAGAGAGGGATCCTCCTTAATTTTTCCTATGAAGGGTCAAAAGGAAAAAATTAGTGTGTTTGATTTGAGTTTTTTGGATTGAATTTTTTGAAAACTGAGTTTTTTTATTTTCGTTTTTTTTTTTTTTTGTTTTTAGAGAATATTTTTAAAATTTTAAACATTCTTTTTACTTTTTTAGATGCACCTAACTTAGATGTATCTAAAAAGTAAAAAAAATGTGTAAAAATATTTTTAAAAATTAATAAATACATAAAAATACAAAAAATGTACTGAATTCTTATATTTTTTTTCAACAATGATAGAGACCACTAATTTTGAAGCTCTAAAAAGACCACTAACGACATGGCACTCAATAAAAAAAGAAAAAAAATACAATACCAAGGCCAAAACATCAAATCATTCATGGTGGGATTCACTGCCACATCATTAGTGGTAGCACTAATTAGTGCTCTCACTCATTTTCCATTTTTTTTTTATATATTTTTGGTATTGAGTGAATTTTTAAAAGATTTTTTTTATAATTTTTTTACTTTTTAGGTGTATTTATGTTAGGTGTGTCTAAAAAGTAAAAAAAAGATTGTTTAAAATATTAAAAAATTTGGTAAAAATAAAAAAACACGATAAATAAGAAAATAGAATTTTCTAAAAAGTGTATTTGAAAAAATGAAACCAAGATAACTAAATTGAAACAAAGAGACCAACTCTTATAAACATCACCCATGACACAAATTAAAAATAGAGAAAATCAAACAATATAGTACAGATTTATAACACGAACCTAAAATTAAGTTGATCAGCAACGTTGTTTAAAAACAAAAAACAAAAAAAAAACAAAAAACAGGATTCTAAGGGCATTTGGGGCCTCCTCTCTTGGTCTTCCAATTATTGTAGCAAGGGCAGAACTGCTTGTTGCCATAAGTTCCGGGCGGTACACACAAGCATACCGTGCAGCATTTTTGACAAAAAAACATACATGGCTTCTTGAACGCTGTCTTTGAGCATCTTTCTGTGCAACGCGGTCCACATTCTACATTGTAAACCCACCCCCATAACCTTCAGATTTTTACTTGTTTTTTTTAAAATTGTGAGATTACAAGTTCACCATAACTAGTTGCTCGGTATTGGATCTAGATGGCTCGATAATGAAAAGTACTATTATTTCAAAATTCTATGCAAAATAATCTTTTATTAAAATTACGAGACAGTGGTATTTTTATAATTAAGAGACATGTTAATTTTTATTTTTTTTTAAGTAATGGACACACAAGTCAACCATGTAATTCAGTATAAATTTTTTGTATTTTTTTTTTTTTTGGGTGTTTGCATGATATTACTCCTCCAAAATTTAAACTAAAAAAATGAACATGTTACTTAATTACCTTGAGGATGAAGGCTACCTGGAGTGCTACCATACTGAAAAAAAATAATCCAACATCAAACTTATTATGTGTTAGCATTTTTGAAGAATGAAAGAGGTACTAATGGTGTGTTGGGTAACGTTTACGTTTTTAATTGTGATTATTACGAATTAAATTTATTTATGGGGTGTCCAATTTGAATATGTAATTTAATTGACGAAAATTTGAAGTCTGATTAGAAATTGAAGGCCTAAATAGTTTGAGAAATCAAAATTGATAATGGAAATAAGTCTAATTTAATATTTGGAGCTTTTTGGAAGTTGATTAAAAATCTGATTCAGAATGGTAAAGATTAAATATAATTAATTGGGCCTTAATTACAGTCAATTAGTCTAATTAAATTACGTGAAACTTGTGACTTGTTATGATCAATTAAGATTAATTAAAAATCAAGAGGTGATTAATTAAGCTAATGAATGACCAGTGGCTAATTTGACTATACTCAACTGATTAACATTGTGGATGTATATTAAATAAATAAATATATATATATATATATATATAATAAATTATTAACCCTTCAAGTTTTATATGTGTACATGAGGAGAGAGAGTAGGCAAATCCACTTATTAATTGTTGAGTGCATTCTGTGCTTCATATTTGTCTTGGCAAAACCGTGAGAGAGAGAGAGAGAGAGACAGAACCGAGTGTAACTATATCGGGCGCCAAAAATAACTTGTTTCCCTCTAAAACAAATACTACAACCTTTAGCGACTTAATAAATTTTTGGTCGCCAAATAACAATAGATAACAACTAAATATTTTGCAACCAAAGATTAAGCAATAGCGACCAACATATTTTTAGTCGCTGAAAGTATTTTATAAATCCCTCCAAAATATTTAAAATATCTCCCTCCAAAAATTTTAGTGCTTTCGTGACTAAAATTTTTTTTTGTCGCTGAAAATAATCTTTTGGCAACCAAAATTTTGATCGCCAAAGGTAAAAAATAATTTTTTATTTTTCATTCGACAACTAAATAGCTTAGTAGCCAAAACTCAATCTGACGACTAAAATTCTTTTTTGTGGGTGAAAATAAACTTTTGGCGACCAAAAAAGGTGAAAAAATAATTTTTTATTTTTCATTCAGCGACAAAATGATTTTAGTAGCCAAAACTCAATATATGGTGACTAAAATTTTTTTTCGTCGCCAAAAACTAATATACCCCGACTAAAAAAAATTAGTAGGTAAATATTTTACTTTTTGCAGACTAAAAAAATTAGTTGGTTGCCAATTCCACAACTTTTGATGATTCAATTTTTTTTAATCGCCAATTTTGATCGTCGAATATGCATTTTGTTGTAGTGTAATTTTTTAAAAATTATCAAAATACAAAACTTAAACATAGTATAATAATAACCTGTGACATACGCGGATTTTTGTAAACTAATATATATATATATACACACATGTTAATTGCTTTCTAGGTTTTTATGCCATTCGAGAATTTCATGTCATGAATTGTCGATCACATCATATGCCTTGTGATTACATTAGTAGTTTTCAAAACTGTGTTTTTCATAAAGTTTGAAATTTTGATTTTTCTTTTGGGGACTGATCCTTTGTTTTCATTATTGTTTGATTTTATTTAAATTTTCTTCTATTTTTAAGTAATAATATAATAAAAAAAGTAGTGTGTTTGGTTTCAGTTTTCTGAAAACTGATTTTTTTTTTTTTTTTTTTTTTTTTTTTTTTGTATTTAGTACTTTTTTTAAAAAAATTTCTTACACATTTAAGTTCTAACTATACTTACTTTTTTTAATAAATAAAAAAAAAATTATCCTCGTCCACTAGATGAATATGGGGAAAAAAAAATTTGACAAAAAAATTAAAAAATTACTAAAATCAAAAAAATTCAAAAAAAAAATGTATATGACTTTTTTAAAGATGAATTCCAAACTCAATATGGTTTTATAATAAATTCATCCACAAAAGTGTAACAGCACCCTCCAATCTAATATGAACAGTAAAAAAGTCAGTAGTAAATTAAAAATACATTTTCTAAGATTTGATTAAAATACAAATCGTCCTTTGTGATTTTGAAAATTACATTTCACCCCTTAAGGTAAAAAAGTTACAATAAAAATTCTCAAAAGTAATATGACAATATCTCCTACTAATGTGTTTTTCTAACAGGACGCACATGATCATAATATGTTTCAATTAATAATTTAGGTAATTTTATTATTGTATAGGAGAACAATTATAAATTTTATTTTTTTTATTAATTTTGTTAAATAAAAAATCTAATAAATGAGTATTTATAATTTTTCAAACCACATAAGATAATTTGTATTTTAAACAAATTTTAAGAATATATTTGTAATTCACACAAAAGTCAAATCTTAAAAGATTGATTATCATTGCAAATCACACATGCAATATTCAATTTAAATTCTTTAAGGTTTTTTTTTTTTGACTGAGTAGTACAAAATGTTTTTCATGTTGTCAGTTTCTAACGGCCCATAGGCCCCACTGTTTGGTCCAATATTCTTACAAATAGCTTCCAGAAGATCCCTCATAAGCCAACATACCAAACTTGAATTGGATGGTATTATATTGAAAAACAAAAGCAACACAAAAATGAATGGAATTTAAAGTGTCATTTGACTTAATTGATAAAAATTCTTATATATGTTCTCACTTTCATTTAGGTTGGACGAGTTAACAAAAAAATAAAAATAAAAAAATGTAAGTGTTGTTACAAAAAGCCTCATCATTGGAATTCCCCATAAAAAATAAAAATAAAATAAAATAAAAAAAGCAAAAAGACCCTCTTTTTATTTCTATGATTTTTGGCTGAAATAGGAAATCTCTATTAGACTAGAAGATGTTGGTGCATGTGTGAAACTAAATCTGAGATCGATAGAAAAATTATTCAGAAAATTAGTATGAAAAATATTGATTTTATCACTTAAAAAATCATCAGAATAGCTTATATTTTGAAAAAATATCACTGATACATTACTCATAAAAAATTCTCTGTCCTTTTCTATTTCTCTGCATACATAATCAAGACATACCCATTGAAATGTATATGTTAGCATAAAAGAAAAAGTAGTGATTACAATGTTTTATACTATGTAACCCAGAGAAATTCTGAAGGAGAAGCATCAACATATATAAGATAAAGTATGTAATGTTGCTTACATTGTTTTCTTTTACTAGAAGCAGAAGCATCAACATAAATATGAGAAGGCTTGGCTTCCTTGCCATTGCTTTGTTCAAAGAATGAAATTGCCACAACAGCTCTGCTACACACACACACACAGTTATGTGATGATGGGTGGTGGTGGTGGTGGTGGTGGTGGATGATAGGATAGGAGTATATATATACATAGGCAGTTGAGGCAGTTTGATTAAAAGTTGAGAATTAAAGAATTCTTTAATGTATACTTTGCATGGAAATGGGGTAAAGGGACACCCTGTACTGTTTAATAAGTCTTATTTATTTTCGTCTTGTTTGGTTTGATTTTGAGAGATAAGTTTTCAAAAAAATATTTTGGGAAGAGTTTAGAAATTTTTGTAGTTTGTTTGGTTATATATTTTGAAAATAGTTTTAAAGTTTAGAAGTTTGGGATGATTTGATATTTTGTTGTAATTGAGTTAATGTATGTGAGAGAAAAAGTGATTGAAAATGAGAGAGGAGAGAGAAAAAGTGATTGATTGATGAGTAAGAAAGAGGATGATTTTGGAAAATTTTTGAAAAAAATTACAAAGCAAACAAAATTTCCAAAAATTTTCTTCAAAATCTTTTTCTCAAAGCCAAACAATTCTAAGTTTCAGAAACATTGATAAAAAGCATATATTGTTATGTGATTCATGTCATGAGTATATATATGTAATGTGTGTGAGAGATGGTTGTTACCAAATGAATTTCACAATTTAGTGTACACCTGCACATGAATTTACACATCAAATTGTTATCAATTTTTTTTAGTTAATTTAAATTATTTATACTTAATAAATTATAAATAAAAATTATACCAAATAATCTGACATAGACTTTTAAATTAAAGTAAGTTATTAACAAGTAATATACGTTGGACCAAAACATCACAATAATCATAAAAGGCAACTTATAAATGTGGGGAAGTTAGCTCAAATTTCTCTACAAAGAAAGAAGAAGGAAAGAGAAGAATGATTTTTCTTCTCGAACTTGAAGAAGGAATCAGAAGCACTTGAATGATCCAGAAACAAGTAGCAAATTTCAATTTTGATTGAAGCTATGTGAAGGTCATACATGGAAGCTTTCTTTTCTTTTCTTTTTTTAACACAGCCATGTGAAAATAGAACTTGAAAATGATAGGAGGCCCCTCACATCACATGTATACTCATCACAACAGCCACTACTAACACAACAGACAGTCCAAGGAAAATCCATCTATATCAAATATATGAATGAACTATGCACTACCCTCTCTCTCTCTTTGTCTTCATTCACAGCACAGCAAGGTAGAGAAGTTGTAACAGCCCTTTCAAACACCTCACATGATTTAGGAGGTGCCTCACCCTCTATTACAGTGTTAACCTGGCAGAATAATATAGTTCTGTCAAAGAACAAGGCCCAAGGAGCCAACAGCACAATGACATAGCCATTTGCAACATAGAAAAAGAGACACCCTCAGAGTCTGGGTGCCTCGAGTCTGAATAATTCCAGAGGGTCTTATTGCCTGGTGGTTGCTAAGGCAGGTAATTCAGTGCAACAAACAGAACACAATGTAATAGACAGATGTGCCAAAACTGGAAGGAGACACCATCGCTGGCCAGTGCCTCAAGTCTGGAGGAGTTCCGGGTCTTATTCCAGGTGGTGGGTAAGGCATGTAATTCAGTGCAACAAACATAACATAATGTAAAAGGCAGATGCACTACTTCAGCAAACCTGCAACTGATGCTTGAAGGTTGAAGCACGTTCCCATTGAAACTAGGCTTATGGCCCAAGAAGTTGGGTACCAACCAAGTATCTCCAGAGAAACACTGATATGGGCTTTTCCACACCTTTAACTCACCAAACTTAGATCTGGTTAAGCATAACCACAAGTAGACTTATCAACAAGATATTGTGAGAGGGTACATGATTAGGCTCTTGACCCCTCGAATCCCAAAAAGACAGTGATATTGGAGCTATTTGAAGCCTGATCAGAGTAATACTGGTAAACACCGATTAGGCTCTTGACCCCTCGAATCCCAAAAAGACAGTGATATTGGAGCTATTTGAAGCCTGATCAGAGTAATACTGGTAAACACCGATTGGCACTAGGTTTGACCCAAAATTCTGGCAGTACATCTTCCATGGCATGGTTCATGACGACCAAAGATTATTAAAAGCTTACACAATTCATCATTCAGCCTGACAACATGTAACATGTAAACACAAATGTGAAATCTAACATAATACTTACAATACTTCTCTTTTTTTGCCTCCATTGAGCAAGAACTTCACATAGGTATCGGAGAGTCTTTCTAACCAAACCATTGACCAAATCACTGTAGTTGTTCGCTATGTGTGTGCAACACTTTCACTTCGACCTTAGGTGCATATAGGAAAATAATTCAAACAAAACAACAAACTAAGCTAACTTCTTTCTAATCACAACATTAATAAAGTAAAAAAATTATAAAAAAAAATTAGCTAACGGTAGTTAGCACAGCATGAGAAACAAAAAACTCCTTGATAAAATTGTAGCCAAAACATTTTTTTGTCAAAAATAACCAAAAAAAAAAAAATGCAAATTTAAAAGGTGAACAATAGAATTTAACCGAAAACCGGCTTAAATCACAGCAAAAAGAGAGATCTCCACAGTGGCTTGTGAGAAATGTTAAGATTATTTGTAAAAATGTTAGTAGAGCTCGCATTGTAGTCCTACCTTACAACAAATGCACCAAGGCTGGCTTAGAAGTTAGGGCTTTGAATTGCCCAATTATATGAGTCCTGGCCATGGGTTAGGTTGGGCTGGGTTTGGACTTAGGCTAAAATATATATATACCCAAACAATGTCTGGGCCAATATTGGATTAATTTAAACACCCAACCCAACCCTGGCCCATCACAAAGCAGAGATGACAACTTTGTTTTTAGCAAACATGAACCTCATGTCTTTAGCAGAAAGAAAAAAACTCTTTATTTTTAAAACTATTTGTCATTATTTTTTGGGGATAAATTTGATAAAATTATATAGTTATGGATATCAAATTGATCTTTTTTTAATCAATGTTCTATTCAAAGTGACTTAAAAAATGAATAGCTAAGATGATTGAAACGAGACTCGTGCTAAATTTCACGCCCGAATAACATGGTTTAGTCCAATGACTAGACTGAAAACCACCCATCACCTACAATTTATCTTCTACTGACCAAAAAAGAGCAATAATTATAGGAATCATAAAAAATTACCCGTAATTCTACTATGAAAGTGATGCGTAAGATTTAAATTAAAGTTAACATTTTGTAGGTCCTAGGTAAAATAAATCTTATCCAAGTATTTAGGCTATGTTTGGTTTAATTTTTAGAAACTTGTTTTAGAAATTATTTTAAAAAATTAAAATTAATTTGTTAGAAAAATGAAAAAATCAAATGTATTTATCATTTTTATATAATTTTATCTTTTTGGAAATAGGAAATAATTTTTGAAAAATTAAAAATATATATATTTGATATTTATTTTTGTCAAATTAATTTTTATATTTAAAAAAACAAAAAATAGTTTCAAAAATCAAATCAATATTGGCCTTAAATTATGAGTATATAGCACAAATGAAAAAAAATAAATAAATAAATAAATAAATCACAAAATCACAAAATCAATTAGATGATTTTAATTCTGGTCAGCCAGCAAAGCATTCCCGCCATCACAGTTGGATCATAGGTAAGACAGTTGAAACTTGAAACCCAAGTTTACAAAAACAGAATCCCAACAAAATCAAGCTTTTAGTGGTAGTTTCCATGTATAATTACACATTTTACTTTCCAAAAACATAACAATCCTAATCCCTCTCTCACCCATCTCTTCTCTCTCACTCTATATATATACACACATAAATCCATAAACCCTAAATCAGATATAACCAATATCTTTCCATTCCATTCCACTCTGTTACTGAGTTTTTTTTCTGGGATTTTCAGAGTTCTTCTTCTTCATCAAAACGTTACACATTTTTGTGTTTCGGGTTTTGAATATTGAGAGATGGTGATTGTGAAGAAACGCCGTAGGCTAGTGAAACTCTCGGATGCTACTGCTGTGGACAGCCCTCTTCACAAAATGTAAGTTTTTTGGTTTCATATGTATATATGTACTCTGTTCTGCAATGTATATATGTATATGTTTGTGGGTGTTTGTATATATGTACTTATTGTATAAAGGGTTCGTACAAAAACAAGTTTTGTGGGTAATATTTGATTATGTTGTGTTGTGTTGTGTTAATCAAGATCTTTCTAGGGCATGTTTCAGTTACAAGAAAAAATTTGGTTCCTCTGTTTCTTTTATGTGGGTTTAGGGTTTAGGGTTGAATTGCACATGGGGAAACTTGATACTTTAAATTTAACCAAACTACTTTAAAAAGGAAGCTTTCTTAATCTCAAGCAATGAAGCATCACTTTTCACAAAGAGACAATAGAGGATCCATATCAAAACCACCAAGGGGTTAGTAGAGCCTTAGGAAGAGTAGGTCACCAATTCGAATCCCATGAAACACTTGACCCCCTTGGGTCCACCACTGTATGTACCCGGGGACTAATTGAAGCAACCCCTAGTCATATTAAGTATCAATAACTTATGTGAATATAAGTGTTTGACTCTTTTAGGACCATTCTAAGGCTGTGTCCAATAATTACTGAATATGTATAGGACATAAAACTGCCTGTACTTAATGTTGTGGCAACATCCCAATACCATCATTACCCCCAAAAAAAAGAAGGATTCATTGCTGGGTGTTGTTTTGTCTAGTTGAATATGATCTATGTATGTTCTTTTTGAATCCATGAAATGCTTGGAAATCAATTTATGGTGTGCTTACTGTATTTCAGTTGCAGGGTTGACTCTAATGAACCATCCTTAACCATGGCTTCTGGATCATTCTACATTCCAAAACAAAAGGAGCAGAATCCTCTAGGCGATGATGCTCACTTCATCTGTCCAAAGCAGCAAACCATTGGAGTCGCAGACGGTGTGGGCGGTTGGGCCAGAAAGGGTGTGGATCCAGGGGAGTACGCAAGGGAACTAATAGCCAACTCTGTCATGGCAACTCTTGATCAGCCTAAAGGAACTGTTGTTGATCCTAAAGAAGTGTTAAATCATGCTTTCTTGAATACTGAAGCCAGAGGATCATCCACTGCTTGCATTTTGACTCTTTCAGGCAATGTATGAATCATAACTTTCACTCTCCTCTGTTTTCGTGCTCTGTCAGAAATTGATAACCATGAATGTGAATGCTAACTTGGTTTTGTGATAATTGCAGATCTTGCATGCTGTGAACGTTGGAGATAGCGGATTCGTGCTGATGAGAGGGGGGGAAATTGTGTATAGATCACCAGTGCAGCAACATAGATTTAACTGTCCCTATCAGCTGGGAAATACCAATGATAACCCGAGTTTAGCAAAGGTTTGAGCATATTTTGTTAATTCAAAACAGTCAAATTAAGAGTAACAAGAACATTAGTATTCAAAGTGCAAACTTACTGACTTTTTATCTGAATTTATTTTCCACAGGAGCTGAAAGTTCGTGTCATTGAAGGAGACATCATTGTAGCTGGAACTGATGGACTGTTTGACAACCTCGATTCTTCTGACATCGAGCAGGCAGTAAACCGAGGCCTTGACGAAGACATCATGCCTCCAGCATTAGCTTGGAACATTGCTAGATTTGCATACTACAGATCTGTGGATTGTGATGCTGAAAGTCCTTTTGCAAAAGCAGCTCAAGAGGCAGGATATAAATTAACAGGAGGCAAAATTGATGACATAACTGTCATTGTGGCCTATATTGTATCTTCAGACTTGGTTCACCATTAAACTGAATTCAGAGTAAGGATATTTCTCGGATTTTTGCACTTGTCACCGGTAGGCGGCTATCTTTGCATCTGTAATCTTTCTTATCACGGTAGAACTACATCAGCTGTGGATGTTTTCGTGTTTCATTGATTGTGCTTTGGATGTAAAGAACGATTTGGATAAAAGTTATTTTTTTAAGATGTATAGAATCAATTTATACTTTCAAAACAGGAAAAAGTTGTATAGAATTAATTCACTTGAATGCTATTTTACCTCTCATAAATGATATTATATTACATGAGATCTTCTGTCATTAAATTTTCATCTCTCTATATACTTGGAAATATTGAATTATGTCTCAAAATTTCTGTACCTTAACAATCTAATATATGATCAACATATGATCTACCGGTCAGGACTATTTTAAGACGAGGAGAGTGAAACTTGGACGTAGAGAAACCGTGTATGTAAATCATTGTACCAAGGGCCCCAAAATGTGAATGTGGACACCACTTATCCAACAGTAGCATGGAATGACTCTGATGGTATAACTAGCTATTTTAGACAGATTAGTATTCAAAATTCAAAATTGCACAGATTAGTATTCAAAATTCAGTCCAATTTGGTGATCTAAAAAACAAACTCACTATATATACTTTAACAAATAATGCAAATGACCATTGAGTAGAATTATGGCTCTTATGGCTACAGAATTTCTCAAAACAATCCACCCTCTTAATCCTGATTACGGAGAGCAAACTCTAGTGTTTGACTTGCAAAAAATTTATTTCAAATTGGCTAATTATATAAACAAACCAAGTTGACACAATTTAAAACTCATTCTAGTTTGAGATGGACTGCAAAGCTAAACAAGTAAAATTTAAACATATTTTGAAACTCTTTTAAGTTTTCAAATCAAACTTAAATAATCTACTACCCAGCTCTACCTAGCAAGTATTAAACCTAGTAGCATCTCAAACATGTGTCCCAAGGCAGTGCATGATGATCATCACCATCATCATCTTGGCAGGTCAAATGAGATGCAAGATATAAAAACATAACCCAAACCCAAAATCAAAATCAAAATCAAAATAGAGAGAGAGAGAGAGAGAAAAGCAAAACAAATTTCTCCTTCCTAACACAAACTGAATCAATACAGAACCTTTCAAAACTGAATCGATGATATGCCTAGTATTGAACCTTAACATGAACGGAATAAGCCTAAACTCTCAGTGTAATCAACAGAAAGAATTTACAAATTAAGAATCAAAAAACAGAAAGAGAAGAAAAACTCTAACTAAATGTGCTGCTCAATTATTGAAATGAATCACGGGGACGATCTGCCTTGCATGCAAGAACTGCATCACGACAAGTGAGCCAATACTCTGTATATGGGATCAACATCCACGGCATTGTTGAAGGAAGACCAGTCCCCAGAGTAGATGGGATCCTATTGGAGTCAAAAAAATTATTAAAATGTGTACAATGTTGTGTGTGTGTGTGTCTCAGAGAGAGGATTAAAATCAAAGAAAGTAAGGAACCATAGTGCAATCAGAATTGATCATATAGACAAAATTGATGACATAACTGTCATTGTGGCCTATATTGTATCTTCAGACTTGGTTCACCATTAAACTGAATTCAGAGTAAGGATATTTCTCGGATTTTTGCACTTGTCACCGGTAGGCGGCTATCTTTGCATCTGTAATCTTTCTCATCACGGTGGAACTACATCAGCTGTGGTGTGGATGTTTTCGTGTTTCATTGATTGTGCTTTGGATGTAAAGAACGATTTGGATAAAAGTTATTTTTTTAAGATGTATAGAATCAATTTATACTTTCAAAACAGGAAAAAGTTGTATAGAATTAATTCACTTGAATGCTATTTTACCTCTCATAAATGATATTATATTACATGAGATCTTCTGTCATTAAATTTTCATCTCTCTATATACTTGGAAATATTGAATTATGTCTCAAAATTTCTGTACCTTAACAATCTAATATATAATCAACATATGATCCAACGGTCAGGACTATTTTAAGACGAGGAGAGTGAAACTTGGACGTAGAGAAACCGTGTATGTAAATCATTGTACCAAGGGCCCCAAAATGTGAATGTGGACACCACTTATCCAACAGTAGCATGGAATGACTCTGATGGTATAACTAGCTATTTTAGACAGATTAGTATTCAAAATTCAAAATTGCACAGATTAGTATTCAAAATTCAGTCCAATTTGGTGATCTAAAAAACAAACTCACTATATATACTTTAACAAATAATGCAAATGACCATTGAGTAGAATTATGGCTCTTATGGCTACAGAATTTCTCAAAACAATCCACCCTCTTAATCCTGATTACGGAGAGCAAACTCTAGTGTTTGACTTGCAAAAAATTTATTTCAAATTGGCTAATTATATAAACAAACCAAGTTGACACAATTTAAAACTCATTCTAGTTTGAGATGGACTGCAAAGCTAAACAAGTAAAATTTAAACATATTTTGAAACTCTTTTAAGTTTTCAAATCAAACTTAAATAATCTACTACCCAGCTCTACCTAGCAAGTATTAAACCAAGTAGCATCTCAAACATGTGTCCCAAGGCAGTGCATGATGATCATCACCATCATCATCTTGGCAGGCCAAATGACATGCAAGATATAAAAACATAACCCAAACCCAAAATCAAAATCAAAATAAAAATAGAGAGAGAGAGAGAGAGAGAGAGAGAGAGAGAGAGAGAGAGAAAAGCAAAACAAATTTCTCCTTCCTAACACAAACTGAATCAATACAGAACCTTTCAAAACTGAATCAATGATATGCTTAGTATTGAACCTTAACATGAGCGGAATAAGCCTAAACTCTCAGTGTAATCAACAGAAAGAATTTACAAATTAAGAATCAAAAAACAGTTAAGAGAAGAAAAACTCTAACTAAATGTGCTGCTCAATTATTGAAATGAATCACGGTGATGATCTGCCTTGCATGCAAGAACTGCATCACGACAAGTGAGCCAATACTCTTTATATGGGATCAACATCCACGGCATTGTTGAAGGAAGACCAGTTCCCAGAGTTGATGGGATCCTATTGGAGTCAAAAAAATTATTAAAATGTGTACAATGTTGTGTGTGTGTGTGTGTCTCAGAGAGAGGATTAAAATCCCATAAAGTAAGGAACCATAGTGCAATCAGAATTGATCATATAGACAGAAAGGAAACCTCACCTATTCCCGGTGAGAACTCCATACGCTGATGAGGCAACAAATGACCGAGAAACCACAGAAAATACATGTCTATAGTGAGGCCAGACAACTTGTCCTGAAATATATTTCCCAACAAGTCAGTACAAGAATAAATTTATTGAGAGAGAGAGACAGTATTAATAACAAAATGAAATTTAGCCATTAAAAAACATAATACAAATTTGGACATGTTCGGGCAAATATTTTCAAAATTCATATCCCTGAGTTTTCAACAAAATTTTTAAAGCAGTTGGAAACCTAAACAAGACAAGGCCAACTTCAAAACAAATATATATGGTTCTAGAAAGCAAACTAGGATCATAAGAGAATAATGGTCATCGTCAATCAAATAAGACAATGCATCCCCGTACAGGAATTATAAACTTTGTCAGTAGACAACCAAAACAAAAATAATAGATCTAGGCCTCACCTATATTCGAAAAGTTGCTGTGAAGATATGAAACCAAAACACTGGACTGATCCGGTCTTTGCAATGTCCTCTCAGATGGTGTAGAAGTATCATGAAGACATCCAATGTCCATAGGATCAACAGCGTTACTCTGACAGGATATAATTTCAAACCATATGCCAGAGGGAAATCTTCTTGGCCTCACAAACCATAGAAAAATCTTGATGTAAGGTGTCGCATGAATGACAGATATAATGAATTCAACTGCTATGCAGATAAAGCTGATGGTAGTTTTCATAATGGTGAAGAAAATGTAGAAAACAGAAGTCGTTGGTAGTAGAAGTAGGAGCGGTGTAAATAGAAGAGACCCAACTATGTGTTGCTCTACGGTGTAGTCATAGCTATCATATCTCTGACGAAGAGGATTCCACTTTCGACCCCTGTTCAAACCATTGAAACCACCACAAAATTATACCATCATAACATGAATTACTTAAAGATAATGGCTACAACTGGGAATGTAAATGATACAGTCAACCCCTTTGCACCAGTTGGGCAGGTACATGGAAGGGTTCTTTTTAATCATGGCTAGAAACAGACAAGTTTTTCTTCAAAAAAAACTATGCCATGTTTGTTTGCTCATAGGATACATATAGAGAAGAGTTGAAGCCAATTGGAGAAACAATTGTCTTTGGCAGAAAGATTCACAAATCCCACCTCAAAATCAAAAATATAAATGCTAAATAATGAGATTTAGAAGCATTCCTAATATCTCCCCCAATTACTGAAAAAGAAATTTTCTCCCCTTGCCTGCCTAGTGAAATCTGCAATTATGTTTCTCAAAAGCAAAGACTGGTTACAATTTCCTATAAAACAAAAACAAAAAAAATAATAATAATAATAATTCAAGAATATCAACAGTTCAAAGCATAGTGATACCTGAAAAGGCGCCATAAAGCAGTTATTGCCTGTATCTGGTGAGAATACAAGTGTGATATTAACCAGTGAAGAGTTGACACATGTAATGTTGCCAACAAAATCATGTCTATGATAAGAGCAGCAGGTGTAGTCAAACCAAAAACAACCGCTGATATAGCAAGTACTTCAACAAAATGAATGAAGAGGGAACCCACAAAGAACCAAAGAGTAGACCAAATTTGGATTGCATTAAGAGAGATCATGCCAAGAACTCTTGCAAGTTCAGTGTTCAACTTGAAACCCGCAGGCACACCCATCAACCACACACAACCGGTACGCAACAAATAGTTTGTTATGTCATCGGCAAAGTTTGAAACCCATAGGCAAGCAGATTCTGCATGAAAGAATAATGCTATACCAAGAAAGTAGCCCAAAAGAACATCAATAGCAACACTTGACCACATGGAATGCTTATGGAATGTAGCTTTCTCCGCGTATTCCACACATGAGTGAGACCTTACAAATCAACAAAATTCGAAATAATGAGAGAAGCAGTTATAGGATCGTATTCCAACATTATACAGATAACAAACAACAGTATTTGCATAGGCATATAACAACTACACAGATATGTGGAACATTTATGCTATAAGTCACCAACTTTGTTACTCTTTTTAATTAGCTATCAAGAACTGCACTATGTTACCCTTTATGTTCTATTATAACTCCTTTGCAGTCAATGCTTGGTTTAGGTATTATTTTTGCTCAAGGTTGTTAAAATCGGGATCCTAAGTAGGATCGGTGAGAGGGTCTGGTGGATCGGATCGTAAGATCCTACTTTCTATTAAAAAAAAAGATAAAAATTAAAATTAAAATGATACATATTAAAAATAAGGTGAAAAATCATAAAATCTACGATTCTACTTGCGATCCTACCTACGATCCCATACGATCCTACACGATCCCATGCGATCCTACACGATCCTACTTGCGATCCTGTTATAACATCGATCCTACAACGATCTGGATCGTTTTGGCAAAATATCCTACGATCCGGATCGCAATTTTAACAACCATGTTTTTGCTAACATATACACTATATCATGGTCACCTTGGCTAAAAATAAATTTGATCTAATGTTTATGCAATTTAAGCTATATTCTCTTTAATGCAAAACTTGGAAGCCATCTGCTGAAGTAATCAGTTTAAGATCTTAAACCATGTCAGTGGACCTGAAATCCAACAAGCAGGTTGGACCGATCAGTGATGTGCTATTATTTCTCACAATCTGAGTAACAACAAAACTGATAACAAAGGTGCCGACAAATGAATTTTTACATACTTCATGCCCACGTGTATTTTGACATCGATATAAATTTCAACCATGTAATAAATGGGACAAATTCAAAATTTATCAAGTTACATCATTATAGCTATGGCTGACGTTGCTCAACATTCTGATGATCTGAATCCAACAAAATGTCAGTGTCTACTACATGTCTAATTTCCGTCATAAATCAGAATCACATCTGACATGACAATTGTAATGCTAGTAAATGAATCAAATATTGCAAAACTTATACCTCAATCAAATAACTCATAGGCATACAGACCTTTACATTACCTGAGACAGTCATCTTTAAGGAAGATTGGCCAATACAATATTTGAGAACAGCGGATTTGAATATTTTTCCATGTTTTGCTGAATACCTTTTCCAATGTGAGATACATCCATGATTGAGATTTAGAGCTCAAAAGGACATGAAGAAACTGAAAAATTATATAAAATAAAGTGGACAATGAAGCAATTGACATGGCCAACAGTTGCCATGTCAAATTAACACACCTGAAAAGCAAGAATATAGGCTATTAAAACATGCAAATCAAAAGATGCCACGGGGAGAGAGAGAGAAACCAAATTCCAGAAGAGATTACATGTAAACAATGGGGAACCGAACAGTAGATCTTTCAGGGCCCACATGTCTTTCAAAGAATAATTTGGCAGCATTAGCACAGTTGATTGCCAGAACCACCGTGTCCTGAATAAAATTTAAAAAAAAAAAAATCAAGAAGCAAATAAACAATTGCGCAAACATTTGAAACATGTGATATCTCACAAACAACATTACCAAGTCCAGGAGTGGCTGCTTTTGATGAAGTTCTTCAAACCACTTAGGTTTCTTCAGAGGATTTTTCACTTGTTCAGAACTCCAAAACCCCAATGAAAAATGGTGACTGCCAAACATGGGAGTTTCATAGACTATTACCTGAATTTGTTTAGACAAACGAGGAAGTTAAAACACCACAAGATGTGACATAACTTGAGTGTGCAGGAAGGTAATCATGACTTACATACGTGGACATCAAAATGTGACACTCTTTGCCCGTTCCAATGTATGTGATGCAATTTAGGGATCCACTTGATTTTTCTACCAATATATCCATGAGAATCATATACTAGCTGGATCCAAATATTTTTTTCTGCAGAAATCAGTTCACAATGGTCTAATAATCCATCATATTTGTAGCATCCACAGCTCCAGCGTCCGTATTTTTTATCTAACATATATTGACTGCTTTGTGTACATATATTACCATTAGTGGAGTTAATTTGACTATTTTCTTCCACTCCAACTGTCAGCGATTGACCATTGCAGCTCAAATCTACTGCACAATGACCAAGCAAAGAGAACATGCATTTATCTTGCACAGATACAGGCATACTTCCACTAGTTTCACGGATGATCCCCTGACAGAAAGATGTGCTCATCAATGTCAGAAATTATAAACAAGCCTAAATCCTTTACAGAACTAGCAAAATTAGCAATGTATCACAGAACCCATATGGCTCACAAGAATGAGAAAATTTGCACTACAGATATGTCGCTTCCTGACCATGGGAATTGCTAAATCCAAGTCATAAGTGTTTGCTTTCACATCCCTCCCTCTTACATAGGTTGGTCTCCCATCATAAGAAAAGTAGGGTGGCTCTAAAGCTGTAGTTTGGTACATCAGCAGATCAAAACTATAAGCGGTAAAGATTTTAGAAATGCGAAAATAATTTGAAATTAATTTTTTTACTAAATAACCCATCAAGCATTAGCTTGTGCATGCCTTTCTCATTGCACAACAACCACAAGACCCAAATTACTACACCCTAATTGTACTACCCTTTTTTAAAAATAAAAACAATATTATCAAAAGAAGAGCATCGGGCTTATGCTCACAATTTAACAAACACAAAGATATAAACAACCAACCAACGCCGCCTAATCATGAAGAGAGTCTAAAAATTCTCAAAATGAACACAAATCTGGCTCCACCCACCCCGACACCCAATTATACAAGACACCCAAAAATCTATACTTCAAACACAACATCGCCTCCGCCAATTCCCACCCAACCTCCTTTTCAACCACGAAAGACACCGGCAACATCCTTAGGTTGAACCCACACCACACTGCTACATAGCTCACAATTGTTATTGCTAGAAACTAAACTTCATTGCAGCTAAACACTCAAAGAACAAATTAACTTGAATTTAATTCACATTTTTAACGTACAACTTGTATTATGAGTGTAGTTTCACCATATAATTACAAAAATGCATGGCTAAAATGGGTCAAATCTAAGATTTCAACTTAGGTTCTTATAGTTTATACCTCAACACGAGATTGGATTGAAGAGAGTGAAGCCTCATCGCAAGCAAAAGCCACTACGATGTCGAGAGAAGCCGAGGGGGACGAAACAAACCACCCAAAGAGGAAGATCGAGGAAGCTGGATAAGTCGATGAGAGGTGGGTAGGCCACCAAAGCCTACACTTTCTTCTCATTCTCATCTCATGATCTCAGCTCAGCTCTGTGTTAAAGTTCATGAATGTCCTACAATGGAAGAAAACAATTGTGTCACTGAAATTGTTAACTTACTGATCAAAATGAGAGGAAAATTCAGTGGGAAAATTGCATTGGGGTCTGTTTGGAGGGCGAGAAACTGAGGGAAAAGCACCAAAACGATGAGAGAGCACCTGCAATAGAAAGGGGAATCAAAGAGCTTGATCGAATAGATTATAGAAGTATGGAAGTCGTGTATAGAATGCTAAATTTGTTGAATTGAAACAACATTTTTGCTGGGTTTGATTTCTCACTGGTTCGGAAAGCTTTGTTTGTTTTGTACAATTCGAATCTTTGGAGGCATAAAATTGACCAGTTCTTTTCACTTTAGGTTAGGGTTCCAAAAAATAAAATCTTATTTAGGGATAGGTTTTATTTATTTTTTTAAGGGGTTAATTAGGGATATTTATTTTTTTAAGGGGTTATTTAGGGATTGTTTGGAAATTAATTTTCTTACTTTTACGAAAAGGTGAGACATTCCTTTTAGTCCCAAATCTGGATTGGAAGGATTGTTTGGCCATGATAATTTAAATTATTTATTTTATTAAGTATTTTATGTATTTATTTTATTAAGTATTTTATGTATTTTATTTAAAAAAAAAATAGATTGATTCAAAAATTACAACTTATTTAATTTATTGTTTTTGTTATTACAAAAATGTATGATTTATTTTTCAAAAATATAATTATCATTTATTTTTTTTAGTAAAAAATACGATAAATTGAATAAGTTATAGTTATCGAATCTACTTAGCATTTTATGAATGAAATACATGCAGTGCCTAACAAAATAAACGGTTCAAATACTGTGATAGGCTTCATGAGCCTAAACAACCCCCTTCAGTCTAGATTTTGTATTTGATAGAATACTCCTCTCTACAAAAATACGTAAAAATAAATAAATAAATAAAATTATGTAATCATTTGTAATGTCTTTTTAATTTTTTTTGGTTAAAAATTAAAATTCCCAAACACAACGTTAAATTGTGCTTTGGACTAGTCTTTTTAAACTTGTTTTGCATTTAAACATTTTTTTATTATAAAATAGGTGAAATTGATAAATCAATCCAGATCGATTCAAATTGTAAGGCTTGGTTTGATTTTTTTTTTTTTAAATTGTTAGATTTTAATTTTAAATAATTATGATTCAATTCATAAATTAAGACTAAAAAAGGAATAATGGCATGGAACCAAATTATAAATTTTTATGAATGAAGTTTTCTTGAACCCCAATTTTGTTCTAACTAGATCGTCGGTGTACGGGGGAGAAATATTCACCTCCTTCCATTCCTCCTTACTTCCAAGCTCATCGCATTCCGTTAGGACTCCATCGCACTGTGAACAAAATGAAGGTGAGCTACCCCGCGGATGGGTTTGTTGGAAAATCCCTCAAACAGTCAAGTTAGCTTTCTTAGAGAAGAGAGAAGGCAGAGCATTGTAGAGAGAGAGAAAGAGAGTTGCACAAAATTGTTTACCTCCAACGTCTACATGCTCCTCATTTTCAAGGCTGGCCATGTAGTCTTAGGGATTGTGGGTGCACTACCTTTGTTGTCCTTCTCTAGACAAGCGGTTGTGTTCCCCTTTACATTTTTTACACGTATAGAGACCAAAACTACCAAATAGTATTTGTCGCACCGCCAAACAGTATTAACGCGTACCAGGAATGGATTCCTCTCTTTTTGTTATTGGTCCATGTGGAATACTAGACCGAGCTATTACTAGTGAACTATAAGCATCATTTTTATCACCTTCACGCCGCGTTGAGACTAACTGATCTTCCAAAGGAAGTATGATGCGGTCAAAGCCTGGAGCCAGTGGGGCGCGCCGTTCGTTATCTCGGCTAAACACCGCGATCCCACGAACCATCTGTCTCGATGATTGTAGCCGAACCATCTACAGCTCGGCCGCCATGTGGTTCCGCTACCTAGAACCGCAACGCTGGGGCAGCTCGGCCCACCAACGTGAGCCAATTCGGCTGAGTTTGGCCCAACACAATATTCCGTGATAGTCTAGCTCGGCCTGACACCATATTCCGTATGGGCCCCGCTCAACCCACAACACCCCAGACAACCTTAGTCCAACCCAGCACCACATTCCGTGTGGACCCAATTCAGTCAATGCTCAGTATAAGTTTGGCCCAACACCATATTCCGTATGGGCCCAGCTCGATCCACGACACCCTACAACCTTAGTTCGGCCAAGCGCCACATTTTGTGCGGACCCAATTTGGCCAATGCTCGGTATAAGTTCCCCTCATAATTGCCCCTTAATCCTATTCGAATTGAGCGTGAGTGGGATTACCTTTTTCTAACCGAGCTATCCACTTTGGCTTGCCGCAGAGACTTGTGCCGGTTGTTTTGTCATCAATCAGTTAGCTGCACTGTCAGCCCATCAGTCGTACTAACAACCCGTCACCTCCATAACACATGGCACTTTCCTAGAGGTTTTGTGCAGTCCTCATAGTAGTCATCATCATACCAAAAATTTGAAAAGTTGCCGCCTATTGGGCTCCCCTCCATAAATAGCCAATTTTACACCCCCAATCCTCTTCACTGTTTATCTCATTATCAAGCAAAAACCCTAGTTTCCTCAGAGCCCACGTTGTCACCGTCGCCGTCGGTGCCTCCGTTCCCACCATTTCCAATGTTTTTCATCATCCAGGACATCACACTAGAGATCAAGATTGATTGGACCTCGACTTGCCTCTCGAATCTATAAGTTTTCCTTGTCTCTTTCTTCTTTCCTCTACTGTTCTTCATTTTTTTTTTTATTTGGGACTGTTGATAGCCTATGCCCCTCTCATAGGGTAAAACTTGTAAGAACCTGAATTTTTAGACAACTGATTAGTTTGTTAATAATAATATTAAGTCAATTAATAGTGATTATTAAACTATTAAATTAAATTAAATCTTAATAGCATTATGATTAATACCAATATTAAACTCCTTTAAATAAATTTATTTATCTTTATGTGATTAAATTTCTATATCTAAATACAGTTGTGGAAACTAAATGATTTAAACAAATAGTAACTAAATTAATTAGAGGATAGTAGGAAGTAAAATATCTAGTGACCAGGTTATATACATATATATATATATATATTGATTTTTATTTTTGTATACACAACCAAAAAAAAAAAAAAAAAATGCGAAGTCAGAATTTGGGCAGAGGAATTCGGCCCCCACCTTTCCAAGAAAGCTACTGGAGGCATGCATGCCTTTACGCTCTAGGCCTACCTTGTGGATATAATTCCCAAGCTAAGAGGAAAATAAATAAATAAAAATTGCCTCCAAACTCCTACATATAGAACATTGTTCAGCCCTTTTTATTTTCCACGGCTGAGCAAAGAGAAACAAAGTGAGAAAAAGTAGAACAGTGAAGAAAAGAAGAGGATGCTTGGTGGTCACCATTTCAAAACAAATCTTAAGAATAGTTTGTAATAGCTCACGAGGTAAGAATACTCAGCCTCTAACCGCCCTTAGATATTTTTTTTTACTGAATCTATATATTAAAAGTATGCAAGAGTGTGCATTGTTAATACACACATAGCAAGAATAGCTTAATGCATGTTTACATTTTGATAGAATAATAATTTCATGATTATATGATTTCTATTCCTTCTTGCAAGCATAGATTAGATGGTTTAGCTACTAATTTTGTCTTCTTATGTGTTCAAATATCCTCCATTGTTTGAAATAATCTTGCATGGGGGTAAAATGAGATAAGGTTGGTTCATTTTTACTCAAAACTTATGTTTTCTTCACTGTCTCAGATTTTATTGGAGGTAAAATGCTTTAATAAATTGAAAATAACTTGTGTCAAAAATCTATTGTTACTAGGAGTATATATAGGTGTTCTATATACATGTAAATTTTTATAAAATAATTGGACACCATTTTCTTACCAAAATAAATATTTGTCCCAAGTGTTGTTCACAACACAGCAGAAATAATGACTTCAAACAAGTTTCATTTTCTCTAAAAATGGTATTTTTCTGCACGACTACTTGGGATAGTTAGATATAAGAGTTATCTTTCATTTGCCGCTGATTTCACAAAAAATGGATAAGCCTAAAGGGAGAAATTAATTTTACTAAAATGCAACAAAATCTGTCCTATTTTTAAAAAAAAATTATTTGACCATCTTCTATTGGTTTTCAGTCTTCAAACTCTCTGGAAATATGTTCTAAACTCAAATATCTAGCAAGCCGTTCTTACCATACCTCTTTTTGACACCGTTTGATACCCCTAGATCACTTGTGCTAGAAGTTACTGTAACTTATTGTCCCAAAAACTAGTTTTCTTCCAAATTTCATTTCTCCAGTTTAAAATCGTTTTTAGCCCTGGTTTTCTTCATAAAATATTTTCCTAACTCAATGACCTAACACTAGTTAAAATATTGTAATAATTGAACTTCGTTTAATATGGGTTTCATTATTTTTAGTCTAACGATACAGCACTGAAAAGAAGAAGTGTGAGAAATTCATTGAAATTTTGTGATGTCTCCTAAGACACTCTATAATATTTATTTTGGTTTCCATACGTGATTATGTTGTGCTATATAAACCTTACGTCACTATGGTTCGTAAACTAAAACTTGTACATGCATCAAAATTTGAATTCAACGAAGTAAAGAAACACGAAATTTAACCGATGTATTAAAGTTTAAAAGTGATGGGGTGAGCCCAGTTTAGAGTCTTGTGCAAGTGAGTTGTGAACCCTAACATGGCCCGCAAAGGTATTTCAGCTCTTATCGATATAGGTGATATAAGGTTGGTGGTGCAGGTGTCACAACATGGACTGTTCCCTTGGGGCAGACCGTGATATCACGACTCGGGTACCTAACCCTGGTGCGTGGGCATCATTGGTAGTTACCGCAAGTAACATTTGAATATTTGACCAAGGGGGAGTCAAAATTGCCCGTGGCCATTGCTTAGCGGTTGAGTGGAAATAATGCTCTGTGGAGAGTTACTTAAAATTACCTGATATACTAAATCTATATGAATTTAAAAGAAAAGTTGACATTTTTCCTTATGATGAAATATTGCTTCTGCTTGCCCTTATTCTATTATCTATTGTTATTATTTCAACTGATATCATCCCTGTTATGTTTATTAAATGTTGTTTGTTATTCCGTTACTACAAGTATTCATTAATTGTGAATATTATTATTGAGGTGGGTATTTTCGGGTTGTAGTATCTTATTGAGCTCGTCGCTCATTGGCATTCCCGTTGCCTTGGCGTTTTATGCCAGGTACCAAAGAAATCGAAGAAAACACTAAGGCCTTGCAAGGCAACATTCAACCTTGGTTAGCTTGAAGAGTGTCCAAGTTCCATAAACCAT